ATCCAGTTAACGAGTCCCGAATAGGACGAAATGCATGTCATGGTTTCCACTGCTAACCATAGCCTAGTCATTTGTAGCAATAAATATTCAGGCAATATTGAAACATCCTCATAGGAGCCCATATAACAACAGTGGTCAATCATTTCGATCCAGTATAACAATAATGAATTACAAGTATCGACAAATTGTAATGTTGATCTGTCTTTTGTAGGTCATTGGGAATCGAATATGTAATGTTTTAATCAGCGGTATATTGAAATGCTCGAAACACACCTTCATACTCCATAACCTTAATTGATATGTGCTTCTAAGGATTATCTAGAGAGATGAATTGGGTACTTTATAGTTTTATTTGAAATGGTAACGAAATGTGTATATATGAGGTCACTGGCTGTTAATTTAAAATCTGTACACAGTTGTGAAATTTCTAACTGATGATCTTCAGGTCGCTGGTGACATTTTTGTAGCAAATCATTGATGATAAAGTTCAAACTGTTTATTTAGCAAAATAGAGTGATGAGTATCAGTTTTAAAATTGTAAGTATGCGTACTCATAGAACTTGTCCACTGTTGTAGTACATAGTTCTATTGTTGGATGGTTAGATTCAATCGGCAGGAAGCCCTATACTTGGGTTTCATGCTTGCTGGCACTCGTCAGTAGGGCGTGTCTCCAACCTTAAAGAAACTGATGTTCCTTTGGTGATTCATAACTGTGTCACTCGATACCAAAGTCACAGAGTTTATCGTTAGTCTGTTCAGGCTAAAACTGAACATTTAAAAATTCCTGTTACCATTGAAACCAAAAATTAACAACTGTGAAAACCAAATAGAGGAGGCTGTGTGATCACATTGACATAAACTATGCTCAAAATATTACTTAGCAAATAATACTGTATTAATGTGTGGGATAACAAATAAATCTAGCATAGAACTACAAGCTTGTACTTGGTATTGTCTGCGTGAACAATATACATCTCCCCCTTCCAGATAGGCTTTGTTTCGTCTACTCTCAATTTCTCGCTTTTTCCCTTTTGTGTCTCCCCTCTCTCAATATTCTTCTCTTCTTTCTACCGAACCATCACTGATCGATTGTCAGTATCCTCACTGGCATCACATGATATACTACTTATAGGCACTCTGACAGTGTTTGGTTCGGGCTATTTGCTTCCAACCAGTGGATCATGGGTTCGAGTCCCGCTCCATCTACCAAGTGTTGGGTAGCCACACAGTATCGTCAGCCCTCACATAATGAGATTGGCTCTTTGTCTACTGCACGAACATGCACATGGCTTCTTGAGTTTATCTCGATTTAACGCTCATAAATTGTCACTTCAGATACTGAACTAAAATCTTTATTTCTGGATCTCTCTTTTCATTTATATTTTTCAAGTTTGTTTCGATGCCTTCTGCTAATTTAAACAACTCGATTGGCTCTTGCCAACGTACACTACATTTGTTAGTAGTGAACTATCCGATTGCCTACAAAATACCGAATGTGCAGCAGTTTGCTGTGAAACATGACTGTTGAAGTGTTGAACCACCACCTTTTATGAAACTATCACTTAAACAACGTAAAGGTCAGATGTAGTCTTACATAATTGAGTAAATCATTTGACATCGTTGTTAACCTTCATCGACTCTGTTAACTGGAATAAACGCCATACCGCCACCTAACTTGACATGCAGTGTTAGGTAAGGCAGGTCTAAGCAGAACAAAAAGAAATGTAAACCTTTCGGTTGCCGTTACTTGTGACAGTTGAAATGAGTGGTTGAAGACCCTAGGATATATGTCTGAGAGTCGATCTGTGTAACCGAGATATCATATCAAATTTAGTTGTTTGTTTCAACCCCTCTGTTAATCACCCAGTTATTTCTAAGTAATTTTGATTGTGCTTCTTAAGGATTTCTTCATCTTGTATCTTGATTTGTGTTGATGTTAAAACTGAAAAGTTGAACTATTGTATGGTAATAACTAGGTGACTTTCGTGTTCTGGTGAAATAGCATTACATACTATTCTAATGTCACAAATAATACTTTGATTTCAGTAGCCTTTCTTCATTACCATTCTCTGTGAAGTATAATTCAGTGTTTTCGGGCCACATCAGTAAATTTATCTGATAGCCTCTTTGATTGGATGTGTGAACTCTAGGTGGCTCGGATGTATCGATTAAATGTAGTGTGTCTTCTTCTGTCCAACTGTTCAAAAGAAATCATAGATACACTTGCCCTTACAACTATTTGGAGTTATGGTGCATTGGTTTAAGCAGTTTACTTTCAACCAGTTCGACCACCGCTCGGTAGTCTGCTACCGAGGTTTGACCAGTCAGGTAGTATCCATTAACCCTCACACAATAGGTGTGGCTCACTGCCTACTGCACAAATGGGCACAAAATTGCTGAATAAATATCTATTCGATTTGGCTCCTGGAAACTTTCTTGTACCATTCCTCTTTTTCCCTTGAGGTCAAAGCATATGATTGCGCCATCTCATCAGTTGAGATGGCTTTGACATATGTTGCGCATGCTGAGCCACCGCTTACCTCGACGTGCCATGCTATGGGAAGTTGGGTTATCTTGGAAGAGAGTTCAAGGTGGCCAAACCAAGATGTGGCACCCTTACTGTTGGTTTGAACCGTGATGGAAGAAGTAGACTGCTTGACTGGGGTCTCCGAGACAATAAGAATCAGTGGTTGATGACATGGCTAAAAATTGGTCGCAATGGAGCAGATGTATCCACTCTCTGGAGTCTTCTAAAGCCTGGGTATTTGCACTAGGTGTTATCCTCAAATTATTTATTCCCTCACACAACTTTATCTATTTTGATATCACCTTTTATATCCACCTGTTCTTTGTATACTAATATGAAGTGTGACAAGTTGAACCGATGCACTCGTGTATCGGGTTCTACGCTGATTTTGTTTGTCTGTTGGTCAACATACACTTTATTCTCTCCCACTCTTATGCAGAATTTACCAGCTTGTTTATACTTTTTTTTAGATCCGCATTCATCTGCTGCCTCATCACTAGGTTGTTTGTTACCCACCTGTCATTCGTATATACTCTATTAACCTTAATATCAACAATAATTTGCTGATGCGACTCAACTCGGTGTATGCTTTGTACAGTTTATGAGGGCTCATAATACTGCCAGTAGGTTGGGGAGGGGGACTGACACTTGAAACTCATTGGTTCAAAGCCGAGCATGTAAACCAACGAACCACCACTCCTCTATTGTTTGATAGACTTTTAAAACTCAGTCAACCACAGTAAATAATAACACGACAGTAGCGAACCATTTTAAGCTGACATAATAGAATCTTATGGGTAGGTAAGGAGTGTTATTCCAACTCAGCTGTCATATCATTCACAGTTTACCTCTTTTGGTATTGGTTGGAAGAAACAAAAAGCTAGTCAAAATGTTTCGTGGTGTCATGGATAAAGAGAATTTGTGTTCGTTTAGCATATTTTGGTACTTTACCATTCTCTGAATGAGTTCTGAGAGATCCAACTCACTAGTGACTTGAAGATGTATTAGATATAAGTTAGAAGCGAAATCAGTGGAGATCATGTCACAGCTTTCTTGTCTATTCTACTATCGAAAAGTAAAACGAAGCTGAAATCGGAATACACTCAGTAACACTGTGCATATTCATTCAGTTGGCAATGAGTCACGCCTATTGTGCGAGTTAGGCTACCCAGTTGTCGTTCGAATTCATGATCTGTTGATTGATAGTCAACTGTCTAAACCATAACTCAACAGAATGAAATTAGTGAACGCTTCTTTGTTGAATCTGCTTCATTAATAGCGAATGTTAATTTCTTCCTTCTGGTTATGTCTCTCTTACATCTTTTTAATGTTGTTGTGTTATTTTTCTACATGGTGCATTTCCCAATGCCCAAGTTGTTTCAAGTTCCTTCTTGTGTAATGAAAACAAAATAATATCCATTGGACATTTGTAGTTATACTTAGCATTAAATATGCTACTCAAATACAGTATGCCTGTAGTTTTCGCTTATTGATTTATTACCATCTTTAAGAAATAGTTTGGTATGAAATGTTCAATTAGTTTGGCTGAAAAATAAAATGGAATATGGTGTAGAAAATATTTTCGTTGCAAGATGACGTCACTGGTGAAGTACAGGTGGTTAACAGTTAGACAGCATTAGCCTTCAGGACGTACTATTCAGAATCAACTGGTATCAGGAAAAAACTTAGCGTATTGGGGTACTGAATGACAAGTTAACTGTACAAAAATGTATTTAAGGATGGATAATAAGATGGTTCTTTTTTTAATCCAAAGGAAGATAATTTGTCTGGATATGTCTCTACGACAGAGACCATTCTTTTTCTCTAGCAATATCGCCTACTACCCATTATCCGTTATAACACAAATGATTGAAGGTGAAGTGGAAAATTGGGTCACGACAAGATTCGAACCTGCAGCCACCGCTTTTTCGGCTCAATGCTCTGCCAATTGAGCTACGAGCCTAAAATCTGGTGGCCGTGGTTCAAATCCTATCGTGGTCTAAATTTTCATTTCACCTTCAATCAGCACTCGGTTTCAACACAAGTTTACCAAACCGCGGCTATCTTACTTAGTCAGATTTATATAATTTACAAATCCTAAATGTAAAACCTAGAAGAATGAAACCGATAGTCAGCGTCTTCGAAGGCTGATGGCATGTTTTGACCTAATTTGAGATAGTGTTCACAGCATATGTTTCAATCACTGAGTGGTAGTCGGTTATAAGCTCATTAGTTATTCACCTTCTCTCCAATTCAATTTTACATAGCTGACATGTCGACTCTTTAGCACATGTTAGTGATTTCATATTCCCAACAACTTTATCACTAGTGTATATGTTCTTTGGTTGATAGTATAGAGTGCCTGATTAGTACTGTGAGTAGTATTGGGTCTATCTGTTAGTTTTGACATAACTTCTGATATGTAGTGTTGTAATACATGAATTCCTGTGCACTTTTTGTTGTCTTTCTTCAGGTTTTATCTGATCCCTTACATACCTCTGAAAACATTCCAATCCCATCATGCAATGGACTAGACGTAACTGCTTCAAAATCCTCTTTTAATGATGATAATATTATTACTCTCAGTAACTGTAACACTACTACTATCAGTCATAATGATATTAGTAGTATGAGTGATTCATCCGATTGTCTTTCAGTTAGTTTAAAAAGAAAGCCTTTATTTGAATCATTACGAGCTGCACAATTCGGTGATAAGTCATTCATAGTTAAAGCTAACTCGATCTCACCAGCACAGACTTCACCATCGTCTACTGCTGGTGCAACAACAAATATTACCTTGACTTTGTGATAAAATAAAGTGTGAGAAAAACGAACAACAACAATGGAGAAAAGAAGCGGATTGAAATACTTTTAATTTTTAATCTCCCATCTCATACACATAGATTTTGTACATTTATTGTCTTTTAAAACTAGTTGAGTAAAAGCTTAAAATGATTGGTACATTATGTGATCAATCGGTTAATTCCCCTCCCTCTCTCTGTCTTGCACACACACCGAAACAGATACGTCTCACTATTGTTGCATTTGTGCTCCTAACAACCAAACAGATTTGACGTTTTCTCGTCTTTTTCTTCATAAATTTGTTTACACACTTAAATTTCGTTTGTAATTTGTAAGCACATTAAAAAAAGAAAATAATGAAGGACTAGTGGTCTTTTACACTTATTATTGTGTTGATTTTCGTTTTTATCTATTGATTTCGTATAATCATTCTTGGGGGATTCAAAAAGAATATGATCCCTGCCGATTGTGTTCGTGATTATATTCAGTCATGGAGGTAAACTTCAGCGATGACAGTTCCATTCATGGCAGAAAGTTGTTGAACTTCGGCTCCACTGATGTTTAGACAGACGGTTTACTTTTTAGTCGGGCGGACCACGAGTTTGAAGGTAGCTCCAACAATAGTGGTTTTGGCAGCCAAGCACTGAAGTTAGGGTACAAAGGCCCAACGGATAGCTGCTACCTTGACGTGGTGGTCGGGCTTGTATATCACAATGACCCAACGAGCTATACTGGTGAAAGTTTGTTCCCACGAGGTCCTACTACAGCAATAAGGTCTGTCGAATGGTGGTTAGGCAAAAAGTTACCATCATAAAGTAAACTGGTATGCTATGATGGGGGTCTGGGAGCAAAGTCATGCTGCGAACTGAACGGGAGCGTCGCACCAGTAAGGTGTTTCCTTTCGATGACCAGTAGTGCCATGCTGATGGTGCCTTTCCAAAAGGAACAAGGGCGCGTAAAAGCCTGTCCTCAAAAGTAGCACACACCATTGTGGTACCCTGATGCCACAACAGGGATTCAAAAAGGAGAAACCAAAATCTCAAACTTGCCGCAACGCAATGTGTGACCGACTTAAAGCAGATGTCCTTTGTGCTCTGTGATCACACTATCCCCTTTTTCTAGAGTACCTCAAGAAAAACTGGCCTTCCACGGTATAGGCAGCACGGAGGTGTCATCCACCCGCACGCTTTCAGATCATACAAACAAACTCTTTTAGGTACAACTTAGTAAATATGCCTCATGAACTTTCTGTTGACTGAGTTACACTGACTATTTTGTCTTTCTTCGGCAGCCAATTCTGTCGTTGGAATGCGCCAGTAATACTATCCACAGTGCTGATTAGACGAACACATTGGTTAAACCTGAAAAATTATCCGGAAAGGAAGTGTAACCTTTCAGCACTATTTGTCTTGATAATTCGGTCAATGTATGCTTTCACAAGGGGAATATGGGTCTATCATTTACTGATGTCATGTAGCGCTGTATCTCACTCTACCATTGAATGCTCTCCTTACATGAAACGAACAAAGAACAATCTTATCAGTGATGTGCGTTGTCTGCACAGCTGGAATTTCACAGCTAGCAAAGTCCATAACAAAAGTTTCCGCAATGGAAATGCCTTGCATTACGCTCTTGAACCATCCCACTATCCACACAACATATCCCGCTCTCTCCTGTCCTGTACACATGAGCCAAGCAGGCCGGCCGTGTCAGAAATTATCTGTTACCAACAACTGAGGAAAAGGGCACTTACAGAATACATACTTATCTGAGTGAAATAAATTTTCCAATCTCAGTCTGCGTTGGTGGTGCAGAAGGCATTGACTTAAGATCGGTCTGCCATTGAAATCGCCCCAGGTGAGTTCCGCGGGAAACAGGCTTCAGCATGCGTAATATGGTATAGTAAATTCTATCAATATTTATATTTCCTATTTTAGTAATTCTATGATTATTTACACCATTATTTCCGAAACATCACCGCGTGATCGGTAATTTGATCAAGTTGTAAACCTATATATTGGCGTTGAGCCCAAGATGAAGACCTAATTGAAAAGAAATATATTTTTTCGCCCAATCGGTATTTTTCTAAATTGAATTTGTTGCAGCTGGGTGGGTCACTGTTACTACCATCCATTTTCTAAGGCAGATAGTTCCTGTGTCTTCCTCTGTTACCGTATTCCCGGAAAAACCGTTCTGTTTGTATCCGAAGCGCTGCCCTGCACAATGATTAAGGGTTGTGTAACGTCCTAAAATCCTAACTCTGTTGCATTACTCCTGCTTCGGCTGTCATCACCTACTGACTGATCGGTCCTTCTGAGTAGCACATCTCAAGCTCCCACTCTATCGCAGCATCAGTAGACATAACTGATGCTTTCCGGGCGGTGGTGCTGTCCAGGTCATTCTTTAGCCGAGAAGAGGTGCAGGATGTGGCAATTACTTTCAAAAAGCAGGTGACGGGCATGTTTTACGATGAACGCGGGTCAACTGCACCTACTATATTCAGGTAAAAAGCAGTGCTGGGAGGAACCCTCTGTGGTACTTAAATGCATTTTCCAAGTGGACTGTATACACCAAGGCACGTGGCTGACTGAAAAGTAATTATTCCTCCTGTATGTTGCCTACATGTTTTATTTCATAGTCATATGCAACATCGTGTCACTCTTTAGTCGGCTGGATGCATTTTTCGCTGTTTTATTGAACTTGTTGTTGACTTCTCTCCAATTTTTTGTATTTCCTGTTCATAAGCTATAGTAATCTTTTTGTATATATATTGCTTCAAACAGCAGTTTTTACTCACGCTTGGCATTGTCTTTGTTATCGTTGGATCTTTGGATTCAATTTTTCCAGGTCTATTGCACTTGGACTTGATTGTTGCAAATGCGGGAATTCGTATCTTCTAGACTATTTGGCACAAAAATAGGCAGTAAATACCGCTACGTTTCTCCAGCTGTCATGCGCAGGCTTAGAGAATCCTCGGTGTTTTAATAATAATATTTATTTCTGAATTCACGGGTGCACATCATTTGTACAGACATGGTTGCTACTTGTAGTGCCGAAAAACCTTCGGTAATGCTGTTTACCATCTCTTCCTCATCCTGGGTAGTGGCAATATTCAGGCCGAAAAAGGTATATTTTACATCATATACAAATAATGCGCGTTAAGTTACACGTTACATTTTTGTGCTCACCCATAAGCATAAAGTTTTCTGGCAGAAATGCAGGCGAAAATCACCTTAAATGATTATATAAAAGTGTCATCGGAAGAAGAAGGGAAAGCGGCCCAGAGAGTTTATTCTCGAGGAAGGGATGCTAGCCGAAATCCCCAAGTGTTTCTACCCAGAAATAATGTACAGGCACATACCATTCTTACAGGTGTGTATAAATTCCTGTGCAAACTGCGCGGTCCTTTGGGGAAGGTAGTTTCAAGGATGAGGTGACATCGAGATCTCACATGGCTGGTTTTTACATGCATGGATGTCGGTAGGGTAAAATGTAGTATGGGATTCAAGAGACCTACTGTCATTTTCTTGCATTCTGCCATGTTGACGGGAATTACGGTTTTGATAGTGCCATACCTCCGAGTATACGGGTTTAGGAATATACCTGAGTGAATATGTGTAGGTTGATCCTGCGGCCATTAACTTCATACCAGCTAACTCCTAGGAAGATGAAGTTAGGCTGCCAAAATCCGTAATTATTTGCATTTATTCAAGTATGTGAGGAATTTACGAGGCCTCGAAGTGTAGGTGGTCTAATCACAGTGTTGAAGAGTGAGAAACGTCATATGCATATAAAGGATATCCTTAATCCACTTGTTGTGGTCCTCCTTCTTTCCGGTTGAGGAGGTTAACTAATGAAGAGGTGGACACCCGTAGCTGGTGGTGAGTTAAAGCGGCCGCCTACTCAAAAAGAGAAGAAATGTGATGGCACATAATTTACCGCTCTTTGATAGTTGATTCCTTCAAGGTGTCTATGAGTACTATCGTAGTAGTAATCGAATAACACTTTCCCATTCACTTTCGTGGACCGTCATTCAACCAAAACCTTGCCTGTGGCAACCGACATCATTGTTACACAGATTCCTGGGTCTGTCCTCGCATACTTTTCATTGCATTCCTATCACACGCGCAGCTCATCCGTGGGCTTTCTTCAAGTGGTTCAAGTTGGTTTACAAGTGAGTTAGTGCAACTGCATTTGGGACCGTCAGGTGATATCATGCGTAAGTCTCTCACAATTCGAAAAGGAGCCTCAAGATTGGGCCAGTTAGTTGTCTACTTTTGAGTAGACCATAAAGAGCAGTCTTGGTTTATTTCAGCTGCTGTTCAGGATTATGTACAAGGTCAGACGTAGGTACCTCTTCAAAATTTTTGCAGCACCAGCGTGAGAATCTTGAGAGTTGTGGTGATGCTTTGGAGTTCGTTGACATACAGTCTAAGTAGGATCCTACCTCAGACTGAATTTTTTTACCACTACCTTCTAGTGACTTTCGGCAGAAATCTTTTCACGATGATCACTGTGAGCCTCTGACAACAGGAATCTCAATAGCCATGTGCGCATTATTTCATCCACTCACTTTTATTTCACTGAAGATGTGGACTAATGTACCCAGTTAAACGCCTTTCAAGTTTATCAATACTCCGTTAACTCGTTTTCTGGTTTCATTACGCCTTTAGCACGACCTCCTGTTTCTGTTAGGTCTGTCCAGTTTGATAACCTTTTGCAACATTCTCAATGTGAACCCAAGGGTCTGGCCCCACCTTTCGTGTCCATCGTTATGACCAACTCCGTTGCCCTTTCGGGATTTCGACTGTAATACTATTCAAATTCACTGGTCTGTAAGTTGATGGTTGCTGTCTAACTTGTCGATAAAGTTGACCGTGTTTTTCCTTTCATCATATGGCAGTATACCTCGACCGAGGAACAGTCTCAGTATATCAGTCAGTGGGCCAGCTACGTAGGCTCGAAGTTCCTTGAGCAGCCCTGTATACACCCCGTAGGGTCTCACTCAGTTTTTCCGTGTGATAAACTCTTACTGACTCAAGTATTTCATTCTAATCTGTATCCAGAGGACTGGCCCAGTCGGATATCAGCGATTCTACTTCTGAAGTCGTATCCTTCGAAGATTCCCTCTTAAAGACCCGGAAAATATATCCGGCCACATTCTTTGCGTTATGATAACTGCTTTCAACTAATCGACTATTTTTGGCCTCGATTAAGGCTGGATACCACACAGAGTTTAGCTGCTGGTTTACGTGAGAAGGCAACTTTTTCAGGCGTTCTCATTCACCCTGGATTTCATAGCATATTCGGGACTGCTTGGCAGCAGTGGTACATTTATTCCAGGCCTATTTGCATTGCTTCTTCCTATCGCGAGTACCGA